CAAGAGTAAGTTTTTAAAATTGCAGGAGTTCTTCTTTTAAACCTTCACTTTAATATGATTCTCATTAGCCACAAATGAATTAAAACACGTTGTGTGCACTAAATGCCCATCCAAATGCAGACATTACCTTGCAAAAGCAGCAGTGACATCATCATTGTGCTGTACATAGCCTATGCAGAGAGCAGAGCTGTGAGAGGGACCCAGCATGCACAGTTGTGTAAATCTCGGGACTGGGTGAACAGAAATACAAACCTTTTGGAAGTTTCTTTTGGAACAGTTTATATATATAGTTTCTATGTATGTATGTGTAATAAGCCGTTTGCATGGAGCTTATATTCAAAGTCATCAATCAACATTTTTCACATGTTCTGCCTGTGACATTGCTTTGCAGGTATTACATGAATTCAGTGGGGCTACTAAGGGTCAATTTACCAATTGGATGACTGAAGAAAAAGCAACTTCAAATTCTTCACAATGCTAAGTGAACATTCACTGAAGTGAACACTTGACTCCATTACTAGAGAATTTAATTACTAAAAAAGTTCACTTAGCTTAGTGAATAGGGTAAAGCTGTAAGCACTTCAACCATGCGATTGCATGCAAGGAAGGGTCCTTTTTTTCAACTTCCCCCTTTATGTGATTGGTATTCAGAGTAAAAATAGTTGGATCTCTTCTCTACGCTACGTACACTCTTCACAAATGATCCAAATGAAAAGATCTCATTTTTTTTCTCTTCTTTGACTTGTCATCGCTGATAGGTAAAATAGAAAGTTCTAAGCAGTCAATGATTTAAAATAAAGAGTTGTTTATAGCACTAAATGCAGCAAACCAGTGAACACTTGTCCTTTGCGGTGGCTCATCTGCAGTTCCATATCTGATACGCTGAAGTTTTCCTTGTGTTACCAACCCCTACATCATGTTGAATGGCAGCACAGCTTGCACAGATCTGAACAGGGTAAACCTCCAATACCTCATGGGAGCAAAGCTTTTTTACTCCTGTTTTGGACTTGCTTGGCTGCAACATACTAACGAAGAGAAATAGCCATTTAGGCCTTCATTTTAAATCCACATGTGTCCCTAATATGCATGGGAACCCTATAAACAGTAAAGATATCCTCATACAAAAGGTACTTACCTTTCTGGTAACAAGAAAAGTGCTTAACGGATTGGCTCTTATAGTGTATGTATAACCAATTTTTTGTTTTTTTTAAATTGAGCCAGGAATGGTTGAAACCCCTACCTGGTGCCTGTGTCCTGCTGGGGAAACTTCCCTTCTCTTCCTGTCCTGGAGACGTAAATGAGAGGAAATCTCTCCACCTTGACACAGGACAAGATTTTCCTTCATTACTTGGTCTGGTGACAACCCCAAATTTTTGGATTTCCCATCGCTTTCTGTTCTGGTGACAACGGCCACCACAAGTAGAGGGGTGAGTCTCTCCAGATGGAGACATTAATCAATAAAAGGGTCTAACACTTCCCCACTCTATCCAAAACTTTAAAAAATGCCTTTACATACATGTTTTGTTTTAAATTGAGTCCAGAATGGTTAAAACCCCTACTGGGTGCCTGTGTCCTGCCGGGGAACCTTCCCTTCACTTCCTGTCCTGGAGATCTAAATGAAAGGAAATCTCTCCAAAGTGAATATCATTTCCACCTTGTCACAGGACAAGATTTTCCTTCATTACATGGTCTGCTGACAAATCTAAATTTTTGGATTTCCCATTACTTTCTATTCTGGTGACAATGGCCACCGCAAGTAAACGGGTGAGTCACCCCAGCTGGAGACATACAGCAAAAAAAAGGTCTAACACTTCCCCACTCTATCCAAAAATAACAAAGAAATGCCTTTACATACATGTTTTGTTTTAAATTGAGCCTGAAATGGTTAAAACCCTTACTGGGTGCCTCTGTCCTGCCGGGGGAAACTTCACTTCCTGTCCTGGAGATGTAAATCAAAGAAAATCTCTCCGAAGTGAATGGAATTTCCTCCTTGTCACAGGTCAAGATTTTCCTTCATTTCTGGCTCTGGTGAAAGCTCTAACTTTTTTGGATTTCCCATCACTTTCCGTCCCATTGACAGTGGCCACCAGGACAAGTAGTGGGGTGAGTCTCTCCAGCTGGAGACAAACAGCAATAAAAGGGTCCAACACTTCCCCACTCTATCCAAAACTTTCCTTCACTTCCTGACCTGGAGACATAAATGAAAGGAAATCTCTCTGAAGTGAACGGAATTTTCACCTCGTCACAGGACAAGATTTTCCTCCATTACTGGGTCTGGTGAAAGCTCCAACTTTTTGGGTTTCTCATCACTTTCTGTTCTGTCCCATTGACAGAGGCCACAAGGACACGTAGAGGGGTGAATCTCCCCAGCTGGAGGCAGCCAGCAATAAACTTGACAAAGGGTCTAACCCTTCCCGACTCTATCCAAAAGAAAGTCATTTACAGACATTTTAACACCATCAGGAATGAAGACCCATCAGAGAGTTTCATTGACTACTGACATAAACATAGGCGTGCGTTACTAAAGTAGAATGTTGACTTAGACCTGTCAAGCTGTGCTGTCAACCAGCCATGCAAGAGTAATTCATACATTTTAGGTTCCCCCGACGTATGACTAGGTATTTGATGTGAACTCCGGTTCACTGGGCCAAGTGAACTTTCTACTCCTTAGGTAAGACTACCCCTTAAACTTTAGCATGTGTCCGGGAGAGCGTGTCAACCTCTGATCTCCATCCAGTATGTTTAATTACTGTATTTGAAGTGGAAAGGTTATTGACGGATAATCGGAAAGCAGAATAATGTCGATATTTCATTAATCTCCTGCCTAAGGATCATTCTTAGTTAAGACCTTGGCAATATAAGAATTTTTAGCTCACAATCTTTTCACACCGCTGGTGTTACAATGACATGTTCAGGGACAAAATATCTATGTGCTTCCATCTGAACCAGTCAGCAGATTAACGCAGTGAACTGAACTTATTCACACCCTACAAGTGATACTGACGCCAAGCCGTACATAATTAGCAGTTAAAATTTAACTTTTCCCCCCCTTCTTTTACATAAACTCAATTATTTTCCACAGTGTGTAACATTTCAGATCACCAGTCAAGCTCTTGCGTCTTCAAAACATTTTGCTTTGCACATTTTTTTTTTTTAATCATTATTTATAAACCATTAAAAAAGACGTTTTACAATGTTCAGTAACGTTCAGTATAGCGACAGGAAAATAAGTAAACCCCCAAAAAAAGAAGAATCGTAAGATTGTCAAGTTTAATGTCCAATTTATTTTTCTTTTTTTTCTTTTTCTTTTTTTTTATAACTTGAAAATTGGAACAAGCTTTGTTTTTTTTTTTTTGTTTTTTTTTTTTGAACGAGCGTACAAATGAAATGAAAGACACATGCTGAACTCAACAATGTGACAGTACGGTAAAGAAAGACCATATTCTTGTACAGATAAAAAGAAACAATAAATATTTTCACCTAGCCATGTTGAAAAGACCTCGAGCCGTCCCAACATTTTATCCATAATAATAATAATTAAAAAAAAAAAGAGTGCTCTTGTTTTTAAAACAGAGCGCATATTCCAAGCAATAATAAATAGTTTTCAAACTTGTAGTAAAAGACAAAACCTCCAAAACAACAAAAAAAAGCTCATACAATAATAGAAAAAGGTAATAAAAAATATTTTGCCTTGCCGTACAAATGCTAACAACTTAATTGACATTAAATTTTGCTTTGCAGTTCTGAAAATACAAAGAGCACCATAATGACGCCTGCAATACACAAAATGACGGACTGTCTTATCATGGGCTGTGATGAAACGCTGGTGACCACTACAAGAAAGCGAATCCGAATAGGGACCATGGGAGATCTTGCTTATTGTGCTTGTATTTTTTTATTATTTTCCAGGTCATGGAAGGAGGGGGGCTGGGGTATTCATTTTATTGTAATCCAAAAACATCAGATTTGTGCTTGTTGAATTGGCTTGACTTATTACCATTTAAGCCAACATTATATTATCTGGAACTAAAGGCATGGAGTACATTGCACCCCACACTGGCCAGCAATCATTTTCCGTATTTGCTGGTGAAGTGTACAGATTATCTAAAATTTGACCTCCCGACCTCTTAAAATATCCACACTTTGGGTGGTAGTTCTGATTGGCCTGTAGAGGAAGAGGTTGCAGAGTCCAAACAGCACGGGGGTTGTCAATTTAGAATTCCCGATATTAAATACAAATGAAGGAAGGAGCAGGATTTCATCTCAGCCCATCAAACATTCAGGAACTTTATGGAATGTACAAAGAGCAAAGCAGACGCTAAATGGATTGGCAAGAACTGGGTTTTGGGTCAGGTCCTGTTCTAACGGGATCGGATGACTGTGCCTGGACCGAAATCTGTTTACATACAGCTTTGTCTGTAATATCGATGAACAAGTTTGTGTTTTTAAGGGCACCACGGGAGGAGG